CGGATGTGACGGGGAATATGACCACGCCGGATGGGCTGGTGGAGCGGCAGCCTGATGTAGTGATGGATCAGACTGCTCAACCTGCAGATGAGCCGGAGGCGCCTACTACGTCCAATGCCCCTGCGCATAGGAACGAATCTGCACTCCAGCAGGAGCAATCACGAGGATTGGCTACGACTGGTGTGTTGGACGGAGACTATGGCGAGGGAAGTGCAGCGCAGGCAGCAGTGGTTGGGGGAGCTCGTGCAATGGAGTTCCTCACCCCGAGATCCGCTATGACAACAGTTACGGCTACCCAGAATAACTGGATGGCTGGATTGGAGGTACCGCGCTGGGTGACACGACTTGGTAGTTATCTGGCACAGGGACGGGGAGATCTAGCTCCAAGTCCACTTGGGGGCTCCATGGCGTCTTCACAATCGCCACCGGGAGGACCTGCATTTCGACTGAGGTCTCCGACTCGAACAACGCGGCCGGTACCGCCGCCTACACCTCCGAGCTCGGACATTTCAGCTGGAGCAATACAAGCCGAAGTACAGCGACAATTAGGTGGGCTTTTGGGGCGTCTTCAAGTTGCGGAGAACCAGAATGAGGCCTTGATGAATGAACTTGGGGAAGCGGGGCGAATCCTAGAAGCTGCCAAGGTGAATCGTGTACATGACCGGCACGGTTCAACAGTACCAGGTTGGGATCACTTAGGTGGAGTTCCAGGGTTTCCAGGACAAGGCAGCTTATGGGGACAATTAGGGGAAGTTTCAGGAGATCGGCTACAGGAACCACTTGATCTACGAGGCCGCTCTAATGAACCTCCAGCTCCCCCGAGGCTATTGGAAGATCTTCTGACCGCTCCATCAGGTCCTAGCATATTCCCGGAGGAACCACGCCCTCCTGATCCTGATACAACAGGAACGAGATCCACGCCTCAACCGCCTCCTTTGCCTGAAGCCCGAAACTTTGTGAGGTCACTTCTGGGCCAGAGGACAAGGAGCGAATCGCCACCACCAAGGACGACGCCACCTGGAGCTCAGGGGGATTCTCCGGCCATGAATGCGCTACTTAAAGGGGTGCAGCAACTTCAAGAACTACAAGCAGCAGCTATGACGAAGAGTCAATTCCCTGCGGCCGAGGTTATTAAGCCGGGAACAACAACCCTGGCCCAGCTACCTGAACTTGTTCCAGGCGCAGAGACGGCGATGAAGTTTCAGGATTGGCTGGAACTGACAACGGCTGTAATGTGTGACGTCAGTGAGCAGAGTGGCAGCTGGTGGCGACGAGTTCTTCAAGAGGTCGAGGACACCTACAGATAATGGCTGGGAAGCACGCCGCTTGAGCGCCTGAGCGTTCAGCCCGCGGGTGAGGAGTTGTCAATAGACCGATGGCTGAGGCTCAATGCCAGGGTGTCGGCGATGCTGCTAGGTGCTATGTCGCCGGAGCAGCAAGCAGAGATGGTATCGCATCGCATTTCCACCAGCGTTGTCAAGATGTTATACAGGCTACACACGCTATACCAACCAGGAGGTAGTCATGAGCGAGAAGACATTTTGAGGAAGTTGCAGAGCCCAGCTGACAATCTTGCCAGCAATACCTTGACAGAGGTGCTACGGGTGCTACGCTCCTGGCCACGATGGATAGCGAGGTGCGCCTCGCTGCAGATGATGCCACCAGACTCGTCAGTGTTGGCACGAGGGTTGAAGCAGCTAACCTCAAACCACCTGGAGCAGTCCCAGGATGCAGCTTTCCGTACGGCGATGGTGAGAACGAGTTTGAGGTTGGACGGACAACCCCGAATGGAGGATGTGTATGCGTACCAGCGGCATCTACAGGCGGAGATCGAGAACTTGTTGGCCAGTCGACCAGCGGCTACGACCACCATGGGCCAAGAGCAACCACGGCTTCGAGCCTTGGAAAGGCCTACGTCAGCGCGTGAGCGGGAGAAGGGGAAGGATAAGGACAAAGGGTCTCCGACCTCTGAGTTGTGTCGGTACTTTATGAAGCCTTCAGGATGCAAGCGGGGTGCAAAGTGCTCCTACAGTCACAGCATGGCCACCTTGGACCGTGAAACCAGAAATAAGAAGTGTCTGCTTTGTGGAGCAGAAGGGCATAGACAAAGGGACTGCACAGTGGGCAAGGGTACAAGATCTACTACCACACCCAGCTCGCCGACCAATAAGGACCAGCGGTCTCAGAGAATGCCGTCTGCGGGGACTTCCTCGGTGTCTACCACTACGCCGAGCTCGACGTTGGATAGTACATCAGCGGCGTCTGTGAATTCTGTACAAGGTGTGCCATGGACCCTGGAGAACCTCATACAAGCCGCTCAGCAGGTGGTTCAGAATCAAAGCTCCGCTACCACTGGGGACAGTTCTCCGGAGAAGAATCGGGCTGAATTAAGGACTATGAGGGTGCAGGATGTGAGGATTTGCAGCTTACGTTCGTCATCGGCAGCCCTTCTTGATTCCGGGGCCACTCACTGTTTGCGCAACGCTTACGACTATGATGAATGGAACGAAAGTGAGAGCGTACTCGTTCATCTTGCAGGGAACAACAAGTTGGTGATGAAGCTTTCGGAATCAGGTTCCTTGCTTATGCCCCCGAGATCCTCATCAACTACTACCTCTACCGCAGAAGCCACGGCAGGCCAAACCATCGTACCAATGGGAGAGCTGGTCCGTACCTTGGGGTACACGCTGATATGAGGTCCAGGAGAGTGTTACTTAGAAAACGCAGAGGGCACAAGGACTTCATTGAATGTGTCGACCGGTTGTCCCCAGCTATGCGAGGCAGCGGCTTTGGCACTGATAGCGAAGCTAGAGGACAAGAAGCGCGAGAGGCTGGAGAACGAGACTGCGACGACTTTGGATGCAGTGAACCTGGCAGCGTTGACAATGGATAAGAGTTGGTGGGACTATGTGAGGGACTATGTGGATATGGGGTCACATGAAGCAGGCCTAAGAGCTCTACGTGATGCGCCTTTCCTACAGGGACTACCTGGCGAATGCCTAAATGGAATGGTGCAGGAGAGTATTTGTGAGAGCGGATGGGACGTGATGAAGAAAGTCGACTTCCTCAGCCGACCTCAAAAGCGGCGCCTGTGGACGGCGAAAAGATGGATTGTACATCTCTATGCGGGAGCGGTTGGACACTATAAGATGTTTCAGCTAGACGAGGGCGACACGGTGGTGATTGAGTTGGACTTGGAGCGGAACAAGGCCCACGATATACAAAGAGACTCCACATGGCGAATGTTAATGTGGGGAGCCTTGACGGGAAGGATTGAGGCTGTGGTCGGGGGCCCTCCGGGTCGCAATGGACTCCCGTGTCTGGACCAGAAGGCAACCAGGAAGGACGTGAGGAATTTGACTCTGGTTGCGCGAATGTTGTGGCTCTACGCGGTGGCCGAGGCGGCAAGGACTACAACATCAGCGCCGTCGCTCAATCGCAAAAAGCCGGTGGCTTTCATGGTGGAGCATCCTGCAGAAGAAAATTGGGTTGGCAATCATCCTTCAACAACATCGTTGTGGACGACCACTACATGGAGAGCTTTCGCAGAGGAGATGGGCATGGGCTTAGTGACCTTCGATCAAGGTGTTATGGGAGCTACGACTACAAGTACCACAACCCTAGGGACAAACATCTATTACCTGATGGGCCTGGATGCCATGCGGGATGATAGCGCAGAAGGCGAAGTTCGACCACATCCTGTGGAAAGTACCTGGTCAAGTGGGCTTGTGGATGCTGTGGTGTTGGCTTTGCAGTTTTGGAGACGACAACCAAGAGGAATACCGCGGATGGCTGCGTTAACAGCTGCTCAGTGGAAGGAGCACGTAGCTTCGGGTCATGCCAAATATCATCGAGAATGCTTGACGTGTGTTATGTCCAGAGGGACGGGACGAAGGCACGCCAGAGTAAAGCACCCAGACATGTTCACGCTGACTACAGATATAGCAGGACCCATCAAACCCGGTCTCGATGTGTCCTCGAAGGGAGCTCTGGGAAAGGGCCTTAGATATATGCTTATCGGGAAGTACACCTTACCGCGGGAGTATGTGAAGGCCTACTCCGGAAAAGAGCCACCTCGTGATGATGGGATGGGAGAGCTACAAGGAACCAAGGCTACGGATGGCGAAACCCTTGTTGGACTTTCTCTACCACCACTACGTGATGAAGGGGATCCAGGTGAGGAGGAGCTACAAGGAATCAAGGCTACAGATGGCGAACCCCTTGTTGGACTTTCTCTACCACCACTACGTGATGAAGGGGATCCAGGTGAGGAGGAGCTACGAGGAATCAAGGCTACGGATGGCGAAGACCTTGTTGGACTTTCTCTACTACCATCATGTGATGAAGGCGATCTATTCAGTTGGGATAAAGATGAGTTGGGTGAACATGGTCCTATGGTAGACACCGATGAGGAGATGGGTGAGCAGGACCGCAAGAGCGATGTAATACACCCCCCTGAAGATGGGCGCAGAGAGTTTATCGGAAGTACAAATGTACAGCGGGAGGAGTTTGAGGATTACGAAGACAGTATGTACGAGCCGTCAGTCGCGGACCCTGAGGAGGCCAGCGAGGGCGATCATAAAACCGCCGAGCTGCAGCAATCAACAATTCAAGATTGTGAACCTCCTGAAGCTACAGTCTTATTGTTTGCAAGGCCGTTGAAAAACAATACCACAGCTTCGGTTAAGGCGGCATTGCAAGACATAGTTCTGTACCTCGAGACCCACAACCTGCCCGTCTATCGGCACCATGCGGATCACGGAGAGACGTTCAGCCATAGCATCAGGTCATGGTTTCGGGAGCAAGGAATACGGGCCACATGGTCGGAAGCAGGAGTGCCACAAGGAAATGGACGAGCTGAAGCTGCAGTTCGATGGATAAAGGACCGTGCAAGGACCTTGTTGATTGGGGCTAGAATGCCGACGAAGCTCTGGCCCACTGCAGTGGAAGCAGCAACAGCGATGCAACGTGCAAGTGTTTTGGGATGGAAGAGCAAGTTGATGGCACCTTACGGTGCCCCCGTGCACATCAAGCAGAAGGCATTCGATTCATCGGGGCCGCGTCGGCGTGAGCGGGCGTTCGAGTCCAAATGGTTAAGGGGTCACTACATGGGACTTAGCAATCTGCTTGATGACGGCCACGTGATCTATGTCCCAGGCACAGAAGATAGCAAGGAGAAGTTCATTCACACGTTCCATGTGCGGACCAAGTTACAGGATCCAGGACCACCAGAGCAACAGCTGCAGCTTGGTGAAGAACCTAAGCCCAGGCGGAAGATCCCAGAAAAAAACTCCAGCTGCAGAGGTCGAGATGAGGGCGTTGGACTTCACCAGGGAGGACTTGGAGGAGTATGCGGCCCAACGATCGAAGGCGTTGTTGGACAAGTGGGACTATCATGAGGCGTTGCGGTTGGTGGATGAGCTGGCGGAGGCGAAGTTCTTTGAGGATAGGACCTTCGGTGTATGGAGGCATGGTGGAGCAGTTGGTTGGACAACAGCGTTCAAGGAGTTCCCGGATGTGGCGAAGGCGTTGGCTAAGCTGGTGTTGGAGCTGGAGCCGGAGGCTACCTTCACCGCTATTTGCGTCATGAGAAACTCTCAGCGAGGACAACATCGAGATAGCAATAATGACGAGAAGGCCAACAACTATCTAGTACCGGTACGGCTACCGCGCTCGGGAGGAGGTTTGTGGGTTGAGCTATCCCCAGGCGATCGTGTTTGCGGACAAGTTGAGGAGCGGAGCGATGACAAGGGGACAAGGCGCTATGGACATGTGCTGACCTTTGAAATGGGAAGGTGCGCAGCGTTTAGCCCCCGCAAGCGACATGAAGTTCTACCTTGGGAAGGAACCCGTACGATGATGGTGGCTTATACACCGCAGGCCCTGGGCAAAATAACTCAAGAAATGATTCAACAGCTTGAAGATCATGGCTATGTACCTCCACTTTCTCAATTACCAGAATATTTTATCTCGGAAGAGCAGAGGGATCCGAAAGTGTGTCCGATCAATGTGGTTGAGGAGGACGCCTACCAGGAGGACCTGACACCCATAGCCGGCAATGACCAGGAGTGGGATATGTTCTTGGATGTAGAGGACGGAATGGTCAAGGTCGCTCCCGAAGTAACGGCTCTACTGCGACCCAGAGTGGCGAAGGTGGAGGTGAACTATACCCCTGACATCGAGGGTGTGATCAATAGTCTAAAGGGCCCACTTGAAGTCACCCACACTGTGGATCCCAAGGATGCAATGGCTCATCCACCCCTGTGGAAGGATGCTATCGCCAAGGAAATGAACACCGTCGAGGTCGCTATTTCAAGATTGCAAGTGGGGACGCCGGAAAGGAGAGAATGGCTACAAAACCCGCGTGCACAACGGCTTCCAACGAAGATGGTTTTTACGGTCAAGCCAAATTCCAAGGCGGAGTTGACCAACAGGGACACATGGGTGAAAAGGAAGGTTCGTCTCGTCGTCTGCGGGAACTTTGCAGCTTCGGAAGCTATGTCACTATACACAGAAGCCGCTCCTTCTGAAGCAGTACGCACTGGTTTGGTTATAGCCAAGAGAGAGGGATGGTCAGTCGGGATCATCGACATAGTTGCCGCTTTCTTGAAGACCCCCATTGGGAACGACGCAGATGATCCAGTCATAATCGCGACTCCTCCGAAGCTGCTACAGGAGCTGAACTTAATCCAGGCTCACGAATTGTGGGGTTTGGTGCGAGCTCTTTACGGCCTTAGGCAGTCTCCAGTCCTTTGGTCGCGGCACCGTGACAGGAGAATGGAGGCTATGAAGCCACCGGCTGGATTTGCAATGAGCCGTGGACGCACTATCTCCAGCTGGTGGTCAGTACGGGATATGCGAGGGAGGCTGTCGGCAGTGATTCTTATATACGTCGATGACTACTTGGTCCTAGGACCCAAAAAGGTGATCCAGATGCTGACCGACATGATCCAGGAGGAGTGGGACACCTCGGACTTGAGCATCCTTACGGAAGACAATGCGGTGAAGTTTCTTGGGATGGAATTAACGAAACGCGGCGAGGAAATGTACCTCAGTCAGCAGGGCTATATCGAGGAGCTTATTCGCGCCTACGAGTTACAACCAGGAGACCACAGCAGGATTCCTATTGCCAAGGACGATGCAGTCTATGAGGTATTGCCTGGTGATCTTCCTCCTACCGAACAACTAATCCATCAGGCACAGCAGATGACAGGAGAGCTACTATGGTTGTCGCAGCGGTCGCGCCCCGACTTGAGTTTCGGATGCTGTGTTCTGTCATCAATGTCTACACGAGCCCCAGCGAGAGTAGTTGCAATGGCCCATAAGATGCTGAAGTACATCAACTATACCAAGACTTATCAGTTGCGTGTAAACTGGGGCGGGAACCACATGTACCTCTACCCCGATGCGGCGTTTGCCCCTGGTGCAGCTAGAAGCCAAACAGGGTGGGTAATTACCTACGGGGGAACGCCCATTCTGTGGCGGAGCTCACGTCAATCTACAACGGCCTTGAGTTCAGCAGAAGCAGAGCTAAACGCCATTCTGGAGGGGAGTGTCGCGATGCTTGGGGTCGAGGCAATGCTTATGGACATGAATGAGTATGCGGAAGACAAGATCGTAGGATCGGACTCTATGAGTGCGTTGTCTTTGTCAGCTGGAACGGGAAGCTGGAGGACGAGGCATTTAAGGATAAAGGCGGCATGGCTTCAGGAGGCCATCAGCAGTGGAGTCATTAAGTCGATACATGTCCCGGGGGTTCGGCAACCAGCGGACCTACTTACAAAGGCGCTCTCAGGAGAGCGTATCCGGGCATTGTTGTCTATCTGGGGCATGGGCGAACGCAAGAGGCCAAGCCAAGGAGGAGCGGGAACTGCGTCTACGGCAGCAGCGAGGGCATTGGTGGCTATGATTTGCTGCATTATGATGGTGACAGTTGATGCTCAGCCAACGTCAGGGACAACAGCGACGCTTCAGGTCGATTGGGACCTAGCAGGTGTTTTAATGGTGCTTCTTATGGTATTGGGAGCTCTACTACTGTGGGAAGTTGCAAAATGGTCAGCGATCTATGTTTATCAGGAGTGGACCCCTGGAGCTTCAGCCCGAAAGATGAGAAGGTTGAGGAAATTACGGGATGCTACTTCGTTGGCAATCGAGAAGGAGGTGAACCGACTTGCAGAACCAGGCGAGGGAACAGGGCAAACGAGGGATCTCAGGGCCCCTTCTCTATCAGAAAGCGAAGCTAACCGGAGAAGGAGGCAGCAGCCAAGGACTCCTACACCACCGAGATCAACGCGGATGCTTACGTCACCGAGATCTATGCGGTCGCCTACTCCACCAAGGTCAACGAGGACGGAGCCTCAGGAGCAGGTCCTGACAGCATGGAGACCACATATGGATCACCCGTCGAGGCCTACGAGAACCGATGCTCATGAACAGGTCTTGACAGCGTGGAGGCCATATATGACCCAGCGACCAAGTACACCACCGATTCCTCAGCAAAGAGAGGGGGATCAGTCGCAACAACCCACAGCAAGGACACCGTCACCTAGACAACCAACAAGGGTTATGTCGTCACCCGGAGAGCGATGGTCGGAGATGTCTGATTCTACAATCCACAGTGAAGAGCTCGAGAGGATCTGTATGGATGTTATAATGCTAATGAGATGTGAAGAGATAAAGCAAGCTTTGCGGCAAAGATCATTGCCATCTTCCGGTCTAAAAGAAGACATCGCCCGGAGGTTGTCTCTTGAGCTTGTGGGGCGAGTTCGCGAGAACAATGGTCCTACAGTACGGCAGCTCAAGTATCTGCTATGGTTGTGGAGGAGTAGAGACTTATCGGGAAAAACCTTATTGGTCTGGGATCAGCTACAAGAGCGATCGCACGCTTCTCACACCATCCACCGCTGGAAATCTCTGTGAGAGGTGCACATTCTTCCTGGCGTAAGCTGTGAGGAGGAGTGTAAAATACCCAGAGTGAAGCGGATGCTGTGGATGTGCTGCCGGTGTGCTCTGGTTTCGAGGGAAGGCTACGAAGTATCCCCTTGTGCCAGTCACCTTCTACTACAAAGGTTGCCCGCAAGGAAACATTGCTGAGACAAACTGTACACAAATCAGCATAGACTTGCAGAAGGGTTTTTGACCTTGATGTTTCTTCGAGTGTGAAAAAGATTCGGAATCGAGCCATGGAGAGCTGCCAGTGACTGCGTCTGGTGTCAGACTTTCCTGTTCTATAAAACCCTAGGGCCCCCAGTGCCACACCTGAAGTCCAAGGTCATCCAAGTGACGTCTCTCCCGTGACTTACAGGCAGGCTTTCCAGCCCCTGCAATTGGGTGGCTCTTTAAGTTAAGGTCACTAATTTTCAAAAAACAACCGGTTTGTTACGCCGGCCCAGGCAATCACGAATATTCAACGGTTATTCGCAATATGGATAATAATACTCCGCACTAGGAACCCTGAGCTAGGAGCAGCAAAGTAAAATTATCGAACATCAATATCAATGTCCGTGTCAGTATCAATATAAACAGGAATATCCCAAGCTAGGAGGTTTCCGGGTTGAAGATTAGGGACTAGGGGGCTTGGCTGTAGGATTCGCCTCTACATATAGCCAGCTTGACTCTTTGTTGGGGGCCCTCACTGCTTCCCTGTACCATGATCGTGCATGCTGCAAGCTCTCTTGGACAGCCAGGCCTACAGACCGTAAAATGTGATCCTAAATAACTCACTCCGTGCAACCTGGCCATACTTGCGATGGGGGCAATTTGTAAGTGCTTCTTCTAAAGAACACATGACATGTGTTAGATCAGCACAACAAGCCAGATCAAACCCCACGATGTTCCTGTCCCAAGCCTTTCCAGTGCGATGTGGACCCTAGCCACGATCACATGCATACCCGCACACATACATACAGACACATATGCACACACATACATCTACAAAGAAAAGTATATGTACAGATATCAAAATATACATAGAAAGCAGACCCACACTATAGTGTAGACATAGTACACAAACCAGAGTATAGAATAGATAAACGGACCTGCGCCCGAAGCGGCCGTCAATGTCTCGAACACGATGTGCTCCCTCCTTAAATCGGAGCCTCCCGGAGCCTCCTTCTGGTGATGAATTTCTCAAGCCGAAACCCCGTGATTTAGAGTTTAGGGCCAGAAAAAGGGGTTGAATATTTAGGGTTTAGGGTTCTCTTTCGCCCTGAGCTAGGGTTGTTCCGAGAATCTCCCGTAGTTGTGACGACAGCCGAAGTGCCCCTCGGTCCATGCCAGGCCGGTGGCCAGCACTGCGAAGAAGACGCTGCCGAGATGCATTGAGACCCCGAATTTCTTCCTTGAAGTTATTTCCTGATTTGGAACCCCGTTTCTTGTAAAGGATTGCTTGAAAGAAATTTCTCTGGTAGCTATGGTCACGTATGTAACTTCACAAGCGCACGGGCTGGGCGCAGAAGCACTGATGTCTATAACTACTTCTTCGTAGCTGTATATACTTGTGTATAAGGAGAAACATGGTCTTCTTGCTGCACGGAAGCAAGACTGGGCCTTAGATGAGGTAAAGCTTGTTATCACTAGTACCCCAAGATAATGCCCCAAATGCACTTCGAGGGAGCCCTGTACACACAAAAGACCCGTAATACAACGCATGGAACAATTTCTAAGCCCTGCACGCTTGAAATCCTAAACCTCTAATCTCCAAACCCTAAACCCTAAACCCTAAACCCTGTCATCTCTAAGCAAGGTCTGCATTCGACGGCCTGGTGGATCGTTTGGCGTGCCAGCCTTGTCTCGGTTTAGGGTTTAGGGTTTAGGGTTTAGGGTTTAGGGTTTAGGGTTTAGGGTTTAGGGTTTAGGCTGCTGCCGGGGCTTCTAATCCGGAATCTTGCCAATGTTTAGGGTTTAGGGTTTAGGGTTTAGGGATCCCTAACCCCCCAGGTACCTACTATATAGAGTACTAGAGCCCCCAGGGCCCTATATAGTAGGTACCTGGAGGGTTAGGGGATGTTTTGGGTTGAGGGTAGCTCAGGAACCCCTTACTACCAGACAGTAGGATCCTGATGGTTTCGGATTGGGGTTTTAAGGGTTTCAGCGCCCAGGGAATGTAAGGAAGAACCCCCTTGCATGTGTATCCAGCGGCGCAACAGGACCTAGTAGAGGGCCGGAATAGTGGCTCGGAGCCTGCGCCTGCCACTTCGAGACCCTAAACCCTAAACCCCTAAACCCTAAACCGGAGTTCCACCATCTCCCGGAGTAAGCCTCCGAGCTGCGAAGAACCGAAGCCCGATGACCTGATCTCTCGAAGCTTTCTTGGGGCTTAGCTTTGGGTTAAGAGAAATTCGTGATTCCTTGTATTCGGAAAGGGCCGAGACTTTTGGACCCATCCAGGGAAAGCCCTGCGTAGCCCACTGGTTGCTGCGCAGGCCATTGGGACATATTGTATTTACCCTGGGTTGGGCTTGAGTTTGGGCTTATACTGTTCATGCAGGGGTCGCGGTTTTCGATTCGTTCTGGGCCAGCCTAGAACATGTTTCCCTGTTATTGGTTAGCATGCATGGTGCTTGGAGCGAATGACTTACATGTATATGTTGCTCTCTTTCTCTCTCCCACTTAGTATATGCAACATATATATATATATATAGGTATTCATACATCATACATACATACATACATACATACATACATACATACATACATACATACAGACATACATACATACATACATACATACAGACATACATACGGGGGTAGGTAAAAACATACATAGGTAGGTAAATAGATACATGAATGTAGATGTATGTGAATATATCTATATATATATATGCACATATACACATTCGTCACAATCAGAAGCGCACGACTGCGAATCAGCCCATCATCCACATGCTGCCGGCAAGAGCGATCCCATGCGGCCTTGCAGAGCCCGGGCCGGGGCCGAAAGTGAAAGTTGCAAATACGACCCGAAACCGTATTGGGGTTTAGGGTTTAGGGTTTAGGGCTTAGGGTTTAGGGTTTATGGTTTAGGGTCATCCCTGAACCCTAAACTCTTACACCCACTCCCAGGTTCAAGGGCCTTGAGAAATGCCTGCGCAGAGCTCATTGCTCAAGGGTACTGTCCCTGACAATATAGGAGCGGGGCCAGACGCCCGCAATGCCCGACCCCCACCTCCAGTCACCCATCCCGAAGCCCTGAACCCTAATTACCAACCCCGGCAAACCCATCCCAAGCCCCATCTACAAATCCATCCAGTGAGTGCGTGATGCTTGTCTCGAGTCATGGGTTCCGAATACCTGGTCAACGTGTCAGCAACTTGGCTCTTCAACTTAGTAGAGCAGGTAGCCTTTATCCTTTTTTGGGCATTATGACCCCTACTTATTTCAGCTTAAAGGTTTTGACCTTAATCCTCGGCCTGCTGCGAGGTAATTTGTTTAAGCCTTATGGCGTTTAAGGCTCAAGGTTCACTAAGAATGGTCTACTACCCCCACTCCCCAAGCCCTTAACCCTAGAGCCTAAGCCTTCTATGAGATGTGCCGTCAAGCACTGCGAAATGTAGGACCTGTACTGGTTCGTTACCCAGGCACCTTTGAAGTGTCGGAACCATAGGTATCGCAATATTCTACGGGCTAAGTTGGGGCCTGTGTCAAGGATTCTATCCTTCGATCCACTGAACAGCTCAAGGCGTGAGAAACAGCGAAAGCCGCAGAACGAGAAACCTGTGATTCCAGCCCATACAGGACGTAAGGTTTACGGGCATGCCCAATGGGGTGGGGCAGCAAGTGTCTACTGGAAGGTTGCAACAGCTCGGCTGCTACGCACTGTTGGTTAAGGTCTTGGTAATGTAGAGTGAGTCCTAAATAATCACCCAAATTTGCTTCTAAGTGACTCTTATTACCATATTACACTATACCTTCCTAACCTGATTCTCGTTGTTCAGGCCCCGTGTATTGCTTCAAGCTGAGGTATTTGCAGTGGCAGGTGCTTTGGCTGCAAATTACGCTCGAGCGCAAGCTGCTTGGGTTCTTTTTGGAGATCTTTGTTTCGTGTTCAGGGTTTGGGCTTTAATTGAGGTGCTTATAAATAATTACCAATACTGCTCTTAGGGCTCCTTATTATAATTATAGTATAATATACCCCCAAAACCTTATTGAGGCCCTTATATTAGGTTTGCACGAAGGGATCCTTCTGTGGCGAGACAGCAGATTTCTTCCCGAGCCCGCAAGCTCACAAAGCTATATCCTCCTGGGAAGCCTGGAAATCCCCGTTCGCCGCTTTTCCGAAGCCTTCCCGAAACCCCTAAACCCGATATAAGCCCCTAAACACCGTAACTTCTCGCAGTCGCACTCTACATCCGAACCTGAGCCTTCAACATCCTAGACCAAATACCTCTATAATTATACAGCCCGAAACCCTGTAGAACCCTAAAGCTTGAATCTAGGGTTAAGGGTCTAGGCACAATCCGGAAAAACCAAGAATAGGAATCTTAACCCCTCAAGTGAGCGAGCCCTGCAGCACCCAAACGGAAGCTGGCTCAGCAGCCTCCTCCCAATTCCCCGGGCGCTATTTCAGGGATTTGGAGATTAGGGTTTAGGGTTTAGGGTTTAGGGGCTTCAGGGCATGACCTCTGCCTCAAAACTCCTACGACTCGAACAGGGCCAAATCCCTATATCCGACACCATACAGCCCCACTTAAACTGAGCCCAAAGCCTCAAGCAAGCTCTGAGCCCCATTTAAAGGTTTGAGCCTAAATCAGTGGGTGGTTGTCAAAATTATGGTCCCTTTTTGGGTCCTTATTATAATACGGCACCTATTATTTAGGGTACCCCAAAAGGGACCATAGTTTTGACAACTACCCAAGTATTTCACGTCGCTGGTTCGCTAGTCTAGGTCCCCCAGTTTAGATAACTGCAGGGGCCCAGCTGTTTTGGATCCAACCAGGCATCAACTTTCGTGGGCGCAGACCTGCAACACGATTTTAGGCCCCCTATAACCCTAAACCGCTTTAAAACCCATCACGAATAGAAGTCAGCATAGGCCTAGAGTAAAACCGAGAAAGCCTGGCGAAAACTGACAAGACCAAGGCTCTGGTAAAGTCCCATAACGAAAACCTCCACACCATCATGAGCCCAAGCAGTTGTATCATTAGGGCCCCTAGAAGAGGCAGTGCTGGCAGTCATCAAGTCCAGTTTCAAAAAGGGCCCTAGGGGCTGTTTCGCAAATTCATCTTGATCCGAGGGCCCCACCTTACAACCTGTATGCCCGAAAGCCTAAACCCTCCAAGCCCCAACCCGGCAAAACCTATAAATCCTGCAAGCCAGCACCACCCCCATTTTGAGCCTTTCAAGCTTGTAAGGTTGATTAGAAGTCCGTATGATAAGTCCCTCGAGGCGCCCTTAGCCCCCAACCCTGTTCATAAGACCTCATAGCCGATCCCCCAATCCCTGAATCGTAACCCCTAAACCTGGCATGTCCGAGAGTGGGCGCTGAAACCTTAAGCCTCAATGAGAGCTCCCCGAAACCCTCAACCCCAAACCCTAAACCTTAAACCCTCAACCCTAAACCCCAAACCCTAAACCTTAATCCCTCAACCGTTAACCCTAAACCTTAACCTTAAACCCTCAACCCTAACCCCCAAACCCCAAACCTTAAACCCTCAACCCTAAACCCTAAACTTTGTAAGGAACAAAAAATGAGAGCCTCCTTTTTCCCCTAAACCCTAAACCCTATAAACTTTACTGCAAAAAAAGCCCTTAAGGAACCAAAAAATGAGAGCCTCCTTTTCCGGCAAGTCCGAGGCCTAAAGGCGCCAGGCGATGGCGCTGGGATGCCAAATCCCTTCGTCACAGCGCCCGAGCCGGAAGAGAGGTTTGGGGTTTAGGGTTTAAGGGTTTAGGGTTTAGGGTTTAAGGGCTGGGTTTGGGGTTTAGGGTTTAGAGTTTAGGGTTTGGGGTTTAGGGTTTAGGGTTGGGTCATATGAGTCATATGATATAGAACCTAAACATTTACCAATATGATTGTTAGGGTTCCTTAATATATATATATATAGTATAATATACCCCAAAGCCCTATTCTAATTATTAAGGCACCTACATTAAGTATGGAATGGGGCTTTGTGGTCTATTATGGTATAGTGGAAGTGAGGAACCCTAAGGAATAATATCTGGCCTCTAGAGCAGGCAAAGACCACCGGCAAGGAAGGGGTTAGGGTTAAGGGTGCTACAAGGGCTTAGGGGTGTGGGGTATTGCGACCAGATGCAAAAGAAGCGTCCGGCAAGGATTTTACATCAGTACTTGGAGAGTGAGCTTCAGGAGGGCTCTTGCTGAGGAGGGTTCTTGCTTTGGGTTTTTCTCAAAGTGAGTAGTGTTTGATAAGGTTTTCTAGGGCGGTTCAATAAAGGTGTTCGTGTGGTGTCATAGGGAAGTTTAAAAGTCATTAGATGGATGCTCATAAGATTTGCACCCTAAACCCTAAACCCTGAACCCTAAACCCTAAACCCTAAACCCTTTACACCCTGACATAGCTCTGTAGAACGACTCACGGAGAGGATCCAGGTTTGCATTCATGGATGTCCCCTTACTTGCGGGGCATTGAGGTTTTGATACTGCGAAGCCTTTAGAATTTCGGCACTTGGGGGGTTCGGGGTTTAGTCTTAGTTGGTTGTCAGTTTAGAGTTTCGTGATGGAGTGTAAGTAGATCTATCAGGTGCAGGGTTGTCGAGGTTAGGGTCCTATAGGCACCCCGACATCGTCAGGAAGAGGAATCGGAGAATCAGCAGTTTTGTGATGTCGGATGATACTATGTTCATTGTCATTTTGATGCTATCATTCTGTTGTTGTAAAAAAATTGTCAGAAGTGAACGAGATCCAAGGTCGAGGCACTCGATCAGAAGAGGTCTACACAGGCTCCGCCCTCAGGAAAGTTTTGTGCGAAGTGAAGCGAGGAATTAGAAGGTTAAGGGGTTTGGGGTTTTTGGGGTTCAGGCTGTCAGTGCTAGTTGTAATCGGCTACGGACCTGTGGAACCAGAGGTCCACAGCCTGGGATTGTATTTGGATGCAGGGACGCGGCTGAGCGTTCAGTGCTTCGACTTTCTATAGGCCCAAGTCCCGGCACGAGGTCATTAGCGGTGCATCGGCTTGCACCTTCAACAACTTTTACAGCAGCTTGGTCGAACTTGGCATTGGCTTGGTCTTGACCATCGGATGGCAAGGCCTCGACGGCCGAGCTTTGAAGCACAGAACGTCTGAACGCGACCCCAGGTGCAAGTCCTGACGAGCTGTTTATGTCCAGGTTCAAAGTAGCTGCCAGCTCCGCATGTCCGTGGTTTAAGCTGGCTCCTCATGTCGGTCTTACATTACATCTGAACCTAGGTTTCTCAAAGCACACGAGCGAAGACGACTTCACGGGTGGAGATGCCGTCGTGGTGGTGTACCATAAGAAGATTCTCGGCTTTGTTTCACAGATGCTTCCCTACCTGGTGTACAGTTTACAGCCTCTAAACTTCCAGTCCGAAACGCACAGGATGCCCTAGGAAAACACGAGCAGTCGTTAGCCGACCGGGTCATTTTGAGTCCGGGCTAGAGTGAATACAGGGCACGTCTCTTTATTGTCCTCTTGTGGTTGTAGTGCCATGTACACGCAAAGCCTACTTTTGTGTCCACAACGCCCCCCCCCATATTTAACTAGATCAGACTATTCTGCACCCCCGAAATGCTCTTGCCCGTTTACGGTTTCGTGCGCTCGTAGCAACTCGCCGACCAACGGCCAAGTGCCTAATGCCGGTTCCACTTATAGGGTTGATATTGACTCCACGCGCAGGAGTTGAACCGAGATCACTTCCTCAACACGCATGACTTCTTGTACTTATGCTCGAATGGGTTTCTACTGGTCTACAGCTTAGTGACTTTCCTTGGATGTGAACACAGAAGACCCGGAGGTGTAGAAGTTGGGATGTTTCGCTGAGGGGCACACGGATTGGATCGCTTCTAGATTCTTTAGCCCTTATAGCTTATGGTGCTCTTATAGAGAGCTCACAGGACCACAGTAACCGTAAGCAACCTTGCAGGGAACATCTTTTTCGGGTTTGGCATGGCAAGTTTCGTTGGTTCGTCTTGCAAGCGCCTTGTCAGGAATAGCTTCGGATTTACGGACAAGCTGGGTCAAGTCACATTCAGCCTGGAGAAAGTGCAACCGAGCATAATTCATTCAAGCGTGTCGGGCCCTGGGCAGGCTTTTCAGTTTGACAATATTCCCCAAGCCTGTAGATTCCGGACTGCAGAGTTCATCTTGAGCCATTTCCTATTTATAGACTCTCGACTTGACACAGGCTTCAACTACTTATGTTGCCACTGTGGCGAGGATGGGATGAGGAGCGATCATGGTGATGGCTATGATGACTTGTTGATCTCTAGTCGCTCCACTTGTATGTGGTATTATCCTGTAATCCAAGTCTCCAGCACACGCTTGGTGTGGCCCTCTGCTTGATGCGGTGACGATAGGCTACGGCGTGTAAGTCGCCATTGCTTAAATATGGGACAAGAACTGTGGAGTTGAGTAGTCTCCATTCTAACATGCAGACCTGAACACTATGTTTCGGAAGATTGCTTTGGTCAATGTTAGGCAGTTGGGTATGTGTATGGGTGTCATACCTGGAGGATTTTAGAGTATTCGTGGGGTCCAAGGTTTGTCTGTGCTTAACAAGGCTTGTGGCTTTGTGATCTCAGGGTTTACGCCCATAGAGCGTTTTCATTCATAGGGTTCACAGGCCCATAGTCATTTAATGAAAGACTGCTGGCATGAGGTGAGTCTCTTGTGCTACAGGCTTGTACCGCGCCTTCAACATCGAGCCCTCTGCACCTGACATAAGACTTAAAAAGCTAAGCCTACGGAGTGTGTGTCCGGAAGAAGGTGAGAAGCCACACTTGATTGGGCTCTTGGTGATCGAGGGGTTTAGGGTTTAGGGTTGCGTTCTCTGGATGTGAGTGATTGGGACATACCCGAAACTTCATACCCGAAGTCCGGAGGCACCTCAACAATCAGAGGCAAAACGGGGCTCCGAGGGATCACCGCTGAAACTCTCAATTCATGCGTCCGGCTTGAGGTCTACATAGGACTTAAGTACTGTAGGACTGTTGTTGCCACCAATGCTCCTAGAGTTATGCTTGAGCACTGTTTTTTGAATTTAGCGACCACGCCACCGAGGATTGTCAGACAACGGCGCAAGAAAACTGATTTGCTCGTTATGAATACAAGAAACGTCCACTTCGCCACAGTTGTGACCAGGTCCCGGGGCCCTCAATAGTTAACGAGCATGAAACCCTAAGCCCTGAGTTGGCAAAGGTACCATCAAGACGGGCATGTGGTGCCAAAAGACTGGTTCGTGATCGTTTTGCCGGACGATCCAGGACCGCATAGCTTCAAGTCTCGATGCTCAAGCCTAAAATAGAAGCCTTGATAATTAGAACAGGGTTTGGGCGTGTAGTATATTATAACCATAATAAGGACCAAAAAAAAACACTGCGGTGGTTGTTTTGGCTGTCTGGGGGACTGCGGCACGTCTCAGCTGTCAGTGCAAGCGTCCAGACCCTGAGATGACCACAATAGTATCTTCAGACCAACTAATAAGCTAAAACCCTAAACCCCTAAACCCTAAACCCTAAGCCCTAAACCTTCAATGATCAGCAGGATTCCGAGAGTAACCGGAGCCATGAAACCCTAAACCCTACGACGCGCCTTGTGCGAGTGTGTGAGTCGAAACCCTACGACGCGACGACCCGAAGGGCAGCACTTCTAGAGCTCATAGCTTTAGGAGGGTTGAACTTGCGATAGGCTTTAGCCACCCTTCTGGGCTGTCAGAGATATCTCGTCATAGAGACTTTGGGGGGCCTTAAATTAAAGTACAAACCTAAACCGGTTCATTGCTCTTGGGTTTCTATGCGAAGGGCTGGGCTTCGTATCTCCCCAACATATCCCTTCCATCGAGGAGGTCTCGGGCAATTGGGTTTTAGGTGTTTAGGGTTTAGGGTTCAATTTAGGTTTAGGTTCGCCTTCAAGGCATTTCCCGTGATACGCTCCAGGAGTGCCGGAAAAGGGGCCCCAAAGTCACACTCCAAATAGCCCACAGCCAGACCCTAAATCCTAAAGGGCCCTTTAAGAAGTGCGCAGGCAAAGGGTGCGGCTATGTGGAGCTGTCCATCGGCGCCTACGCACCAGGAGCTTCTATGGGTTTTGTCGGAAGCATCTTGCATCTAACTAGTCGCCAGCACCTGGAAGATACAGCTGTTCTGCCGAGCGTCTTTCATCAGTCTGCTCTTGACTGTTGTTGTCATGACAGTTACCAAGGTCACCATCATGCATCGCACCAGTGTGAACAGCATGACTCGACCATCATTACCATCGTCACCATCATGACCAGCATCACATCATCTCCCTTCAGCCCACAGCTGAAGACGCCAGGTAGGTGCGCAAACCCGACGTTCGCAACCCCCCCCCCCCCCGCCCCCCGCCCCTGCGACCAGGTTCGATGTTCTAAAGCCGGAGGCTGAAATCCGGAGTCCGAAATCCGACGAAACACGTGACACTTGACACAAACCGCAGACACACTACGCCCTGAATCCTGACGTCGTGCAAACGGAGCGGCTGCAGCTTTAACGCCTTATCCCAAACATTCTTGCCCTACAACCCTAGAAGGTTCCGTCGTTCTACCCGGCCGGGCCCGGAAACCTATAAATCCATCACATGTAAACCTACCTACGTGCTTATTGCAGCAAGGAAGCCACGTAAAGAACCTCAAAGCAGAGGTTTTTTAGCGGGTCTTCAGGTAGGAGGTAAGCGAAAGCAGTGGCCTTCGACGCCGCCGAAAACGCATAAGATGCGCTTTGCCAGGCGACATTGTCCCACAGAGCTTGTCAGGCAAGGGACAGGGCCGAAAGATTCCTGCAGTCAAGGTCTTAAGGTCCAGGGGCCCAGGGCAGTAAGCACAGCCTAAACCAAAACCCCACAATTTTCAGGATTTATGACTTCCAAGCAAAAAGTCCAAAGAGTACACTTTACTCCAAGCAGATGCGCACAAAGAGTCCATGGCCTTGGCCATTGTGGGTTTTGGGTTTAGGGATAGTGGGTTGTTTCATTTACTCGATAACACAAGTATTTCACAAGAAGCACAGAACTGCCCCAACCCAGAGTGCGCTCTGTTGGAAAG